TCGATAAGGGGTCATAAATACACATAACTAGAAACTAAACCTGCTGCCTTGAGGCAGCAAATCAAAAAATAATGCAATATGAAGTGTAATTTGTAATTTATAAAGCTATTCATAGTTTTGAAAAGGTCATTGAGACAAATCGAATGATGTATAACACAAGACTTCACCATGGGCGCTTGGCCCCGTGACACCTATGGGCCCGTTGCCCCACTAGGTATCATTTCAATTTATATCGTGTCAACATTTTATTTTAAAAGCTAATAGTCTAAACTTGATCTCAAAATTATCCCTATAAATATTACTTTCAAAAATAGAATTCACAGTAATTTCAAAAGCTCTATCTACACCACTCTACAGTAATCGAAAACAGTTTTATTTAGGAACAAAAAATTTTTATCTGGGCTAAAACAGTTAACAGTTATATCACTTAGCAAAACGTAAATCCGTACACTTCATCCCAGTGAAACTGTCGACCGGCGGTAGAGAACACGGCCCAATATCTGCCATACTTAGCGAGAAACCCGCTATATGGGCCCATGACCCGCAGTGGGCTCGCTGCCCCATGTTACCCTATAAGCGGTTACCAATAATACTAAATGGAAATTGGGGATTGGTGTCTCAGAAAAAAAACTTTTTATATTCTTCTATTATTTAGATGAGATTAAATACCTATTTAGAACATGTTCATCCTTTAACGATGTTAGGCACCTAAAGGGAAAAGAAAGTTTATTTTAGCATGAGAGATGACATATTTTCTTTTTTGCATGTGTGAAAAATCAGCAAGCAATTGATCATTGATTTAAAACCGTTAATTCAGGAATAGAATTAAAACGGGTTTTTAAATATTAACAGCTATAGAAATTACCCGAATAAAATTAAAATTTAAACATTTTTCTTGATAAAAACTAAAAAAAAATAATAAAATGGAAATTCGTCTTGCTGCTGGTGACGATATAGCCTCAGTAAATTGCGTGTAAGATCGCCTTCGATCGTCTTGTTGCACCAACAGAAGTTTAAATTTGAAAGATCCCTCGACAAAGGCATACCCACAATAAACATCAAAGTCAGTTTAGTTTTCGAAACAGCAGTTAAAAGAGGATACAAACATTTTTAGCACAGAACTTCAAGAAAAGATGTGCGCCCTGAAATGGTGGTTAGAGGCAATATTTTTCCAGGTGGCCGAGTTGTTGGGGTCAGCTCATTGAAGCAGCGAGTAAGGGTTCGAAACCCGCATCTGGTTGTGAAAAATTCTTGTCAAATGAGTGGCCGGCTGGTTAAGAATTCGCAACAAGCGAACATAGCTTAACGCTTAATTTAATTAATTAACACTAATAAAATTATACGAATACGTTTCGTGATTATATGTTAAACACTAAATGAATAAATGATCGTCGCACCGAAACACTCCTGGAAGAGCTCGCTCCTCACACTGCAGATGCCGCTAGGACGCGCCTGTCGCTCCTGCAGCTTCAGGTCGAGCTGCTCCCACAGCAGGATGACTGAACTTCTGGTGGGCGGCGTCCTTGAAACCTGCGGCAGCGACTGTGCTGACATCTTCAAGTATTTTTAATTATTTAACTCTAATTAAATGCTAATGCTGGGATCGCACTAATTTATAGCGCATGTTTGGTAAGGGAGTGTAAATTGTAGAGGACCATGGGGCTAAGTAGCACAACTTATATTGTAGGGTAAGGTAAAGTAGGTAAGGTAAAATTTATCTATAAATTTGCCACGTTTATTAAGCTTAGTAAGAGTATTTTAATGCCGCTCCGCCAATCAGTTCAATCTGAAATTGGAAAAAATATAACTCAGTACTCACTGCAGTGAATGCACTGCGCATTTTCTCGTCGACGAAAACTTGAGGTCACGGACGGACGGGCAGACGGACAGACAGACGGACATGGCGAGCACAATAGTGCATTTTTTCCATAAATGAGAAAATGCGCTAAAAAGGAACGCTGATTTGTAGACTACCGAGCAGTTGATTAACATTTCAGTGTTATTTATCAAACTTCATCGATATTTATAATGTACTCAACATTACTTATTTCGTGAGCCAGCTAAAAGCTCTCCTTTTGGGTGACGGGCAAATTAACTCTAGTAGGAAAATTTAATCATAACTTTGGAGTGACACATTAAGGTCACGAAGCGCATTTAAAATAATGTTTATTGTGTGATATTTTTGGTTTGAAAATTTTAGATGGTCGAACCTTGGTGACCCAAAGCTTGTCATCGTGGTAGGAGTGGTATGGAGGCAGCAACACGTCTAGGATCAGGCCGAGCTCCACGGTATCCATGCTACCATCACCTCCTGCTTGACGAAGGATTAAAAAGTGAAATGAAAACTGCAAGTAGACGTAAGCTAGGATCAAGCCTTATGCTTTAATAATGCTGACGAAGATATATATTTATATTAAATAATAATATAATATAATTATTATATAAAGATATAATAATAAATAAAATATAATAAAGATAATTTGTCAAAGATCGATAAATTAAATATATCGATTACTGAGATATATGTGAACGTAGATTAAATTACTGAGATAGCATTGATTTAACGAATAATATTATTCAAAAAAAAAAAAACTAAAGTATTAGGGATTTGTGACAGGAGTTCTGATAGTGATAGTACGCACCTATATTTACATTATATAATTATCCAAAAATATCAATTAAATTAAACTAAATAGTAATGGGAATATATATTCTGCCACTGCTCTTTTCGTACCCCGGAATATTCAAATATAACTCAGAAGAATATGTGAATTGCTTGTCCAATTAGTAACGCACTTTCTGCACGCAACACCGATACGTCGTATTTCCCGGCCAAAATGGATGACCCACACATGTGCAAGAAGTGCGTCTCTATTTTGACATAGTCTCACTCATTTCTCTAAGAGTTCTTCCCGTACAATTTCGCCCCACACTTTACTTGCCTGCTCCTATTATTTGGTCTTCATCCAAAGCCTTCATCATGACAGCCATCTCATCTTCGCTGTCGTCTGACTCCTGAAATATATTTATAATGCCGGACAATGAATGGTCTATTTCTTGGATTCCTCTTGCAATAAGAAAAGTAAATTTATGATACTATCCAAATAGTGACATACTTTCTCACACGAAGTATGAGTGTATAAGAAAAAGTCTTTATTTTGATAAAATTACCAATCAATTTTTATGAGTGTGATCCTTCATATTTCCGGTACAGCGCTATTGCTCCACTTTTTAATGTACTCATCTTCGAGCATTAATAAATTATTGTATTTAAATTTCAAATGCAATTGCCTCTCCTAATATACAAGAAATTATTTTTTGCACTCACTAACAAAGAACAGCTCTTTGAATTGTAGCATCATAATTTTTTTAATTGTCTGCGTTGATGACATACTTATACCAATCATTTAATATTTAAAAAATCCCATCAATCACAGCCGAACGAAAAAAATGTCCTAACAATTGGCTAATAATAACAAACTGAGTTAGATTCTAAAAACACACGCTTTATGATTTGTATCCTTCTGTCGCATTATTAATTTAAAGTTATTGAAGGAGATTTTTCCAGTTAAAACTAAAATTCAAATGTCGTCTCACCTGTTCATTTCCTCTAACCATATCGTGCTCCTCATTTGAGGCTATATATGGTTTGTCGAGTTTCAAGAGCCCAGCACTCATTGCCTGCGTTAATTGGCGAATTATCTTGGAAGAGAAACTTCAGGGGAATAAAAAAAAATAAAAAAAAAATTTTGCTGTACCTGCGACCTGTGGATTGACTTTATATTGATGACAGAGAGGTCAGATGACCACGCCAGCGATAAGTGTTTCCATAGCAACGAACCTTCGGTGATATGAATTATCCTTCAGAAATGAAACACAAAAAGCGCGTCAAATTCCCGCAGTTAATTTTGAAATTTCATGGATAGATGTTCAAAAACTGTTGTTCATAATGTTTGAGAGCGAACAAATTAAATATATAATAAACTAAAATTTTTGAACGTTTTCATTAGCAGTTTGACCTTTCTGGTCTATGTTTTTGTCATTTGTATCGACACTGTTGTGTGCAGCGTATTATGTATGTATTTACCAGTTGAGCGAAGTGTGATCAATTGTAGGCAATTATAAATAATGATTCCTTTTATTCTCTTCTAGGCCAATTCACATTCAAGGAAGCCATTATAGTTCAAGTTCGTTGTAACTGCCCATCTAATTCCTCATTTGTAAATCGAGGCACTTGCTGAATCAACCAAAATACGTAGAAGCGACGTCAAACTAATTAATTACCGTCAATTCTAATTTAAATGTTATTGATCCCGAGAAGTATGGTCGAGCTACTATCTACTACATTACCTCTAAGTCATATATGTGTGCGATTAAATGGTGTAAACGCTGTGGAATTTAGTTCAAAGTCGTAATTTGAAATATGGATAAATTATATTATCTCTAAATTTGAAAGCTTACCATTAATAAGCAATTATTCTTAACAGAAGAAAATGTGAACGAAGATGAACGTGACATCTGCCGGGATTCATGGGAAGTACGAATAATGGCTTGTTTGTTTACCTTTTGAAAGTGGCGTTGTTAGATGAATTTTTTTCTATATCTTCATCGGCTGTCAGCATGTTAGGTTAGTTAGTATGATTGCATGCATTACCAATATAATTTGTGAACAAATTAGGTAATTATCTATATGGTTGAGTGACTGCTTCTTTTGTAAAACTTGTCTTGATTCGTGTAATGAGGGTACTCAACATGCGGCTTAATAATATCTATCCACTTTAACGTAACGAGTAAGCGTAACGTTCAGTTCTCGTTTATTCTTCAATTTATTGACTTTTCTTGAGTGCTATTTTATTCCAGTTCAAACATGTTAGAATCGTCTGATTTTGGTGCAATGAGTAGGATCCTTTTTTCTTTTATGCTACTGCTGATAGCTACATTCAAAATTAAATAATAACCCTCAATTTATTGTATCATTTTCAGTGACTTTGAGAAGTCAGTACAAAGTTCTTAACCTAGAAGAACTTGGAAGTTTTCTCTGACATTTACAGGGTAGAATCATGAGAATGTTAGTTATAGTTCATACATTCAAAGTAAATCCAGCTGACACTTGCTAAATCCAACTCCAAGAACTTAATTAAAGTTTCCTGCTCATCTTTCAAGTCATTTTGGACAATGTGCAAGCAGTGCAACAGTTCATCATATGCCTTGTCAAAACCTTTGTCGTAACTTAGCTCGTCAGGGTGGTCAGGCTTGTCAATTTGTCATAGCCTTTGTCTTTGTCAACGCTCGACAATATTCATGAATGGTATATATTTAACTTGTATTTTTTTTAGAATTCAAAATGGAGAATTGAGATGAAGCCACTTTTATAGGGTAAACGCGGTATATTCCGACACATTAAGGACGCATCGAGAAATGAAAAACTATAAAAAAACGTATGCGTTACGTAAGTTCTGTTGCCTTCACATGACTCAAAACACTTCACTACACGTCAGCAACGATGAAACGTCACAAAATGTTGCCATATTTATTAAAAAGTGATGATCTCACCACGTGGCATGCATTGTGTCTCTTTGGATCTCAATATTTTCCCACTAGATGGCCAAGACCTAGTGTTTTTGCAGTATTTCGACACGCAAATGTATGACGTCACCATTTCAACCATCAATGAACGCATGGAACTAAAACAAAGCTTAATATAAAGGAAAAGCTGGAGAGGTGACGGAATTACCTACAATGTTGGAATATACCGCATTTACCCTACTTCACACTAATTAGGATTGGAATTTTCCTGCCTCTCAATTTGTTACCCAAAATGGAAGATTGCAAAAGTAACCCATGAATTGTGCAAAAATGCTTGCAAATCTGGCCAATTTCACCTTCTAATAAGGCATTTTTCAAATTTCTTATGTGAAAAAACACTAAACCTTATTCTCACCTGGAATTTTCAAAAACCAATTGTTAAATGACAATTTTTACCTGTTTTTTATTTTATAAATTAAAAAATGTGTGGTTCAATAGTGCACTTTTGTTAACAATTAGATAGGAGTTAATTTACTTTGTAAAGTTGTAGAATATTGCAGTTCCTTAAGTGGCAGAAAAGCTATAGTTGCAACTTAAAGGGCAGAGAAAGAAGCATAATGTGAAGAATGACAACTACCATCAAACATTATCTAATGTTGGTGTTCTTGTGGCAATAACTAAGGCTTCCTTACTCTGGTATGTGCTGTACTTTATGCTTTTAACAGTATAGTCACTATAGAATTTTATGAATTTCTCTTAAGATTCAATTTATGAAACAGTGATGCTATCAACTGAAGTGCATTATAAATGATGGCTGATGCATGTGTCATATACTAATAGGGAAAGCAGATAATAATCTATACAGTGCCGTTCAATTGATTGATTGTAATTCAAACTGAAATTATGTATTGATTGTAATTCAAGTTATAGTGGCTTGATTGAAAGCTTGAAGGACAGATATGTCAACTTTATTCACTGTGACCTAGAATGGCATAAATTTATTTGCTAGTATTGATAAATGATAACCATAATTGAATTGCTAAATTTTATCAGCAAATTATGGAAGAATTATCTGCAAATCTATGGAGATAGTCCAGATTGGCTTGCATTAAAGTGATGCCAGACAGTGGATTTTGAATGGGGTCTGTATAGAAATTATCATTTATCATGGAAATAGTCCCATATTTTCAAACCAATCATTTGACTCATCAAATTCCTCATTTAAACAATGTTATTCTGATGGATTACAATTGGGTTTACATTTTGTGGAAAGCATGTAATTGAGGATGAATTGTGAAAATTTATGTAACACAATTGAACTGATCAAGCATGACATTGTAAGTCATTTATAGCAAGACTTACACAATGATAATAATAATATAATATTGCGGTTTCAGCATTTATTAGGCTGTAGGCCTGTTGCCAATTCTTAACATTGCAAAACATTCACAGTATGTTGTGGTCTTGAATTTGCAACTCACTGCTTTAATTTCACTTTGCTTCAACTGCCCGGCCTCTTTGCCAATTCTGACCAGAAACTGGCGCGCAGAGCTGGGGTCAAACCCGCACCTCTCTGCTCCTATTCTGGTACCGTCGTACTCTGAACTGTAACCGCTGGGCCACCCTGCCCAGTGGTTAATGCACTGCTCAGAGCAGTGTATTTAAATGAAAATCTTAAATGACATGCCGTTTCAATAAACTTTTTCTGAAAATATTGAACTGACTTAAAAATGTCCTATAACATGGATTGATTCTGTATTTTTGTGATATAAATGGATAACCCATGTAGCGTCTGCCATTTAATATGTGCAATCTAGATTATGTGCAATCTACCAACCTGCTAGAATTTAAAATTACATAACTCATCATACAATGAATGAAGACTCATAATGAGCAATTTATATGAACTGCAGCTGCCAATGGATACAGATGGTCTTGTAAATAATCTAAATGTAGAGTTAATTTTTTCTTTAATATTTCAATGCATTTGATATAAAGGTTATACCATTCATAATATTTCAATGCATTTGATATAAATGTTATTCCATTCCCATTCAATCAACAGAAGGAAAATTCAAATTGTAGTGAAAACATGATGTATCAATTTTTGAGTAATTCGTGAGGTATTCATGATGTAAGCAATAAATGTATATTAGTTGGAACTATATACAGCAATCCCTTGATTAACGCAATTAATAAATCCCCGAGTTTTACCGTGTTTAGCAAAACCGCGCTAATCAAACTTAAGAATATATGGGAATAATTATAATGAATCCTCAAAAATAGCAAAGTTACATAATAATTTTTTTCCACTAAAATTCATCATATTTTTTTCTAAATAATAGGGGAAATAAATAAAAGAAATGCGAATGAATCCTCCAAAGCAAATCCTCCATTTCGATCATTATACGAGTCCTATTTCTAGTGCATTGCACGCTCGACGATGTAGAAGCAATTTTGCCTTTCTCTTGATACTCGGACGATTTTTTCAAAATTGTGCGTATTGTTGACTTGGGAAACCCTAGGTCTTCACCAATCTTCGTTTTCGTTTCACCATTATCAAAACGCTTAATTATTTCAAGCTTAGTCTCCAAAGTGATATTTTTATGATTTAAGCGTTCCCTTTTTGTCCATAATTATGACGGTAATTTATCAAGGAAAATTATGTAGTTTGATAAAAATGAGCAGTAGATATGGCAGCGATCTTGACCAGTTGAAGGCTAATGAGTAACTAGAGCACCGGCATGGCGCACTTACTGGCGAACGTTGCCAAACTCGACCATTCGAGTTGTGAACGAGACAAGGCGCGGTTAAACCGACCCTGTAGTCAGCACGAGTGCCTACGGAACGGGACCTTATTTAAATAATTATTGGCTGAAATTCATAAAGTAACAACATTTGGCGAATTTTTCCAAAAGTCGTAACAAAAGTAACAACATAAGATCTAATAAGCAAAAAGTAACACTTTTGTTACGAACGTAACACCTCTGGCTAGAGGTGGGAAAATGATGCATTGTGAAAAAAAAGTCGCGCTAATCAAAACTGGCACCGCGTAGATTAAGGGTTGTATTATGCCATGATTGGTTTATCATCAGTATTGTCCATTATGAATACGTATACTATTACGTATTATCCATTATGAACAACCTTGCTTGATTTACTATCGGAAAAAGTGTTGTTTGAAGAAACGTTATGTTAATGCCGAGCGGTTCCATATGGAACCAAGCTATAATTTTTCACATACAACAAAAAATAAATATATGAACATACTTTTTGCTTATTACCATCACAAATGATAATATTCTCACAAGGAACCGAAAAAAAATTCAGAAAATAATTCTCGTCATTAATGGGTTAATCAAAACCGTGGTATTCAAAACCGTGCTAGTCAAGGGATTGCTGTATATGTTACGGTAGCTATGTTACACCATCAAATTAATGTATGGTAGGTATATCTTGTTTGGAGAGTAAAACAAAGCTGTCTGTAATGATGTCAACTGGTTCCTTTCATCATTGGTTCCAGAATTTAGTGTCAACCAACATCTCTTTCGCTTGTATGTTAACAGATTCTGGTTCAGACATAATTTTATTGAAGGAAGGAAGAAGCAAGAACAGTGACAGAGAAGTGAAGGACTTCTGACTTCTTATACCATAGGTACAAGTGGCCGACTGCCCAGGCTACGATGAATAGAGAAAACCTGGAAATCAAGCCCTTTTTATAGTTTGGGCAATGTTGCAAAAAAAGTTTAAAAGTCAAGTTAAAAAGGAATTAAGATTATTTTTGGGCCTATTGAATTTCTATAGGTGCTTTTGACCGCATCTGCCGCACCATATTGCTGGCCTAACAAAAATGTTGTGCAAGTCAGAACTCGATGTATTGCAGCGGATTAGCAAATCAACGCAGTGCTTTAGAGAAGCCGTTGAATTGTTGACTGCAGATGTGGCATTTGTGATACCTAAACCTGATTTGACATTCATTCTTCAGACTGATGCAAGCAAACTGGGTATTGCAGGAGTTTTGGGACAGGAAATTGAGAAATTTAGGCCAATAGCATTCGTGAGCCGTAAATTTAATAAGGCTGAACAGAATTACGCTGTCATAGAACAGGAATGTTTAGCTATCAAATGGTGTGTTTAGCTATCTTTGTGTTAAGAAATTCGTTATTCGCACCGATCATGCACCTCTATAAAAAATTCTAGATTCTGCACCTATATAAAAAATTCTAGATTGATGAGGTGGGCTTTGTGTCTTCAGAGGTATGATTTTGTTATTGAATACATCAAGGGCATGGATAACTTTTTGGCCGAATTGTTTTCAAGGAGTGTACATTCACCGGAATGGTAATGTACCAGAATATGAAGAAGAAGCGGACTAGTGTACTTAGTCAGGATCATTGTACTCAAATTGAAGGTTTGTTTTAGGAGGGGAGTTACCTATATGTAATGATTTAACTTAGATTATTTTGAAGGTGATGTTTTGGCAACATCGCCCAAAGTATAGAAAGGGCTTGATTCCCAGGTTTTCACTATTTGTCATAGCTTGAGTAGTTGGCCACTTGTACCTATGGTATTAAAAGTCAGAAGTCCTATACTTGCCTGTCACTCTGTTCTGGCTTTTTGACTCCTTCAATAAAACTACGTCTGAACCGGATCCTGTTAACCTACAAGCGGAAGAAATGTTGGTTGACACTTAATTATGGAACCTATGATGAAAGGAACTGTTGATGTCATTACACTGTCCTCTGATAGAAGTTTATTGGATTAAATCTATAGTACTTTAGTGGCTTATCATATTACTCTTGAATCAGGTACTGCTATACATACCTACCTATATACTATATACAGTGGTTGGACAAAATGAGGGACACGCCTGACATTTTGATATCATAATTTTTGAACATGTGTTAAACAATGAAATGTGACATATTTTAATGTTTTATTGTTGCTGCTGATTGATGTTTTATCAGTGCATAGATATTTTTTAGTAAATTTCTGTGTCTATAACCTAACCTTTAACCTATAGATGGCAATCCCCTCTGACTTTCAAAGAGGCCAAATTGTTGGTGCCCGTATGGCAGGCGCTAGTGTGATGGAAACTTTCTGAATGCTTGATCTTTCTAGAGGTACTGTCTCAGAAGCAATGACTGCTTTTGAAAGAAAAGAAAAAAAAATCGAAAAAAAAATTCGAAGTTGTCTGAAATCGAAGTTGTCTGAGAGAAACCGTCAGTACCTAAATCTAATTGTGAGGGATAATCAAAAGACCCTGGCTGTTAGAATTACAGCAGACCTCAATGGACTCCTGCAGAACCCAGTTTCCATAAAGATTGTCTGCCAAGAGCTGCACAGATCTGAATTCTATAGAAGAGTTGCAATTAGGAAACCTCTGGTATCAAATACAAATGCTTTAAAGCATTTAGAGTGGTGTAAAAACCTTCAGAACAGGTCCCTCAAGCTGTGGAAAAAATGTTATTTTCTCTGACAAATCATTGTTTACCTTATTTTCAACCTCCGGCCATGTTTACATTTGGAGATGGCCAATAGAGGTATTTAATCCTGATTGCTGGAGGGAGTTTTAAGCAAAGAATGAGTTAAAATTCCTATGACAATTCACAATTTCTATGAATCAGTACCTCAGAGAATTAAGCCTGTAATTGCCACTAAAGGTGGATCTACATCATACTAAAATATATATTGTGGATTTCTCAGGTTTTCCTGCATTTTGTCTAACCCCTGTAGATGCTGTTGTATTTGCCTTTTTTATTTGAACAGATTGTAACTTGGCTTTATTTGTGCAGATATCCTGGGTGCAGTTTGAGTGACTGCAATGTCAAGCAGCAGCAAGCCTGCCATGTCCAATGAAGCCAGCAATGGCAGTGATGGAGTCAGTGATTCTGAGGAAGCCAATGACAATAGGGGCTTGAAGCGTCCAATGGTCACTGGGGCTCCTGCTCCTAAAATCAAAAAGAAGCTCAAAGAAGGCTCAGTGCTTGACAAGAAAACTGCCAAGTTACTTCAGCGCAAACAGCTTCAACAGGAGCTTTTGAAAAAGCAGCAGCAAAAATTGCAGGAAAGATTGGAGGCTGATCATGCAAGAGATAAGGAGAGACAGCAAAAAGAAGAGGATGAAAAGAAAAAACGATTGTTAGAAGTTGAGGAGAGACTACAAAGTACAAATAATTCAAGCCTTTCATGTGCTGCTAACTCTAATACTTATGAAGATGTGACAAAGGGTTCTACTGGTCCTGAAAAGTCTACAACGCCTGATCCAAATACCGTCAGTGGTGATACTAACTTACTAACCCCACTTGCTCCAGATGGAAATGATCTTCCTCCATATAGTTCTAATGTATCTAATCCGAAAAAATGTCCATCAGATAGTAATAATGATTCATTGGTAAAGTCAACTACAAATTCAGTAGCGACTCTTGATTGTGATAGAAGACAAGAAGTTAATGATTGCTTAGAAAATAACAACTCTCTGGAAGCAAATGCCACTGCAACTAAGCTCGCAGAAGGAATAATTGAACCCTACTTACCTGAGACTTATTCAAACCACGAATCATATATTTCAGGCCCTCACGCAGATACTGCTGTGTCTGATGCAGCTCAATATAGTAGGGAAGATATTTTGCATAATCAATCTGCAACTTACAGCTTGAATTTTCAGGATGCCTCCACAATTTCAAGAGAAGAATCCAACAATAAAAATATTAAAAATGAAAATTTTAATGCCAGGTCCCTTGAAGTGGGAAACCTGTCTGAGGTTGTTGAATCTAACAGCCATAAGGAGAAGTCAATATGTGCGGAAACCAAAGATAATTCAAGATCAGCTGATGTGGTAGAAACTTTGATCAAACAGGATCCTGAAATCAAGAACCCTTTTTCATTCAAATCTTCATTAAATACCACAGATCAATCTTCAATCAAACATGACCCAGAGGTAAAGGACCCTTTTTCATTCAAGTCTGCATCAGACACCAAAGAAAGTAAAGATGGCTCTACCATCAAGTCTGATCCTGATGTGAAGGACCCTTTTTCAATCAAGTCTGCATCAGACATCAAGGAAAGTAAAGATGGGTCTTTAATAAAGTGCGATCCTGAAGTGAAAGACCCCTTTTCACTCAAATCTTCACTAGATACCAAAGAAGATAAACCAATTGTCAAGGAATCTGACTTGAATAATGATCCATCATATGAGAAGGAACTTTTCAGTGAGGCAGATTCTTGGGGGCAGTTGGCCATTAAAAAGGAGGAGAAACAATGCCACAATATTGAGACCGACTCCCAAGCCGACCCTAACAATGAACAATCCGAGTCAGCAAAGATTTCAAAGAAAGAAAAGAAACGTTCACGAAAAGATAAAGACAACAAGGACAGTGATTCTGATGAAGACTCCAAAGTATCTAAGAAGAAAAAAATTGATTCTGATGGAGAAAAGCCCAGCAAATCTAAAAAGAAAAAGTCTAAAGGTAAAGATTATTATTCTGATAGTAATTCATCAGATGACGAGGGTGGCCGCAGCAGGAGTAAAACCTCCAGTAGCAGCCTTGCTGCAAGGCCCAAGATCAAGAATGTCAGAAAAAATATCAGAGATATTTTATCAGAAGATAAACTGGAGGAGGGAACGCTTGCTGCACAAAAGGAAGAAAAACTCAGGCTGCAGAGGCTACAAGAGAAGAGGAATGCCATACGAGAGTACATGGAAAAGCAAGAGGTAATAATGGATAATAACAAATAAAATACTATTAGGAAGTCTATAATCGTAATTATTAAGGTTAAAAACTTTGCCTCAAAAGTTTTTGCTGAGTTTATTTAGAGTTCGTTTTGCAGTTCGTCAACAGTTCATTTGCGGTTCTTGCATGAAGTTGATAGGCAATGCAGGAAAGTATTTTTATATGTCTGTTTTAATAAGTCAGTAAAATATTTCATTTTTGGTTGAATAGAATCCATGCATCAACTTTTTTTTAGCAACCCTGCCCTATAATTTTTCGCACATTAATTTTTGTAATGAAACCATGCAGTGTAATTTTTGACACAGAATTGTTGTTGAGGAACCGTGCAGTGTAATTTTTGGCACAGAATTGTTGAGGAACATAGTGTAATTTTTGACCCAGAATTGTTGTTGAGGAACCATACATTGTAATTTTTGACAACAGGTGGAGCGGTTGGTTGCTGAAGTGAGTGCAAACCTGGAGGCCGTGGGGCAGGTGGAAGACGTCGTGGAGGACGACATAGCAGGGCTGGCAGGGCTCGACTCTGCCGTCACCATTCAGAAGCTGGATGATCCTGTATGTGAAGAGGAAGCTGAGGGCTTCTCTGCTGATGAAATAACTGCGAGTGAAGAGCCTGACGAGGAAAAACTACAAGAGGAACAAGTCGCTTGTGTCAAGGAAGAAGCTATGGGTATGTGTATATACTTTCAGTTATGGTTTTAGGTGGATGAAAACCTTTCTTTAACGCACATTTCGTTTGAGGCCAGAGAGTGTTTCTCATTACCCATTTTCATATTATTCTTCTAAATTTGACAAATTTGATTTTTGGTAGGATTTGAAAATTGTAATATAAGGATTTTGAGGGAGAGTTTATTATAATTTCTCAGCGTTTTGGCTCCATATTATTCTGTATACGGATGGTTTTGAACTACATGGGTACAAACATTAGGTACAGTATTAGTGGTAAATGGTAGAATAAGCTTGTCTAAACACGGGTGGTTAATTACCAGATAATACCTTGATTTATAATTTCAGGGTCAATTAAAATTCTTTAGATGACAGTGGTTGATCAAAACTCAGGTTTAAGGAAGCAATTTTAATTTATTAACAGTGTTTTGAATGTAACAACATTCATTTTCAAGTTATATTGGAAGCATTGAATACTGAAATTGGTCAACTAAGTAGGTACTGGTACCGTACATGATACACGTAAATATGATACGTGCAACAAGATAATTTGGAACCGTGAAAATAACTCGGAAACAATCTCAAAGATCAGAAAATTCAGTAGTTGTGAGATGGATAGCTGGAGTCCAATGCATAGAGATAAGGGCTTCAGCTATCATTGGTCGGATGGTGTTGGGCCACTGCAAGATGCCGATAGAGTTTGAGTTTGGTTTGGTGTCGTCAAGTGTGTCATGGAGCCTGTTGAATTCATCTCGGATTTTAAGATGAAGTTGCTTAGTTGTAATAATTTGAGACCTGGTCTGGTTGGGCTTTGAGTTGTCTCCATAGTGCACATTAGGTACGTATTATGGATGCAGCTCTAAAATTGAAACTAAATATTACTTGCAAAATCATTTCAAACTCCTGACAAATCCTGTGTTTTGTAAATTGAAGTTTGGAGACTCATCATTGATGATGAGAGTCTCTTCTAATTAATTATTGTAATTATAATATAATTTCCAGAAGTTGAAGCAAAAAAGCCTGAGGAAGAGCCTGCAGCTGACGGAGCAATTGTTAAGAAATCTCCAGCTAAATCCGGTGAGTTCTCGTCCGTATTGTTGGTAGACTTAGTTCCTTCATCATGAATACAACAGTTTCATCAGGAATAAAGCTAAATTCCTTGATTATTTCACCTATTGCGTGACGACTTTCAGAACGAAGGGAAAAGTTTACTTTCAAGTGTGCAATAGTTTTTTAAAAACTAGTATAAATGTTTATCTTGCAATTGAATAGACTTATTATCTTACAGCTCACCACGAGTAGAACTAAAAACTGTTTGTATTAACTGCTAGAAACTTTGCTTGCTATGGTTGGACAATTACTACTGAACAAAATTTCCAAATTTTTCATAGTATTTCTTGGCTTCATCTCATAACTAGAAAGATCAAAATCACAGAAATTAAGGGTTCCTGATAAATCATCACATCTAAATATTATCCTAAGCACTATTTCTTGCATTTTGCTATTCCTTAAACTCTTTGTAAGGGGGCGTTAGTTGGTCCATCTGATGAAGTTTGATTTTGCACCCAGCTCTGATGATGAGATAATTGATAACCAAGAAGTTGTTTTGTCATCCCTATAACAACATAGTATTTGTCTATTACTTGCAAAATTCAGAGCGTGGCTGGGTGGTCTACAGCGAAGCTTAATCTGATTGCTTATTTCACCGTGAATCATCGTTCTAAGATTATTTTTTCTCCTGTTGCTCATTTTTTGCTTCCATTGTTACCCTTTTCTGTTTATTTATTTGCGTGCAATTAACGACCAGAGAATTTGTTGATTTAAATTATCAAAGAGTCGGACAAATCAACGAATTCTCTGGTCGTTAATCGCACGCGAATAAATCATCAAATTCTGCCATCTAAAACTAATTTTTCTGTTTATCTATATTAATTTTGACCACAATAGGCTATTTTATTTACCTTTCACTCATTTTAACCGTATATGTCTGACAAAGATGAGTATCTTCTTGTTCTAGGAGCAGACTCGGATGAAGATGGTGAAGACGAAGAAGAAGGGGAAGAAGAAGAAGAAGAAGGCTCGGCTGACAGTGACGTGGTAGTTTTGTCTGAACAAAGTGACGAGGATGAGGAAGACGTCAACAATTCTGGCGGCCACATCAACGACGAGTTCAACCAGCCTGACGTGCAGGGACGAGTGCTGGTCAACGTCGCACACCCTGAGTCTGAGGAGGACATCTTCCTGGCACCACAGCTGGCACTGGCAGTCAAGCCTCATCAGGTGAACTTTTATACGCGTTAGGCATCAATGTTATCGTGAACCACGCGTTAGGTATCAATGTTATCGTGAACCACGCGTTATGCATCAATGTTATCGTGAACCACGTGTTAGGCATCAATGTTATCGTGAACCACGCGTTAGGCATCAATGTTATCGTGAACCACGCGTTAGGCATCAATGTTATCGTGAACCACGCGTTAGTATCAATGTTATCGTGAACCACACGTTAGGCATCAAAGTTATCGTGAACCACGTGTTAGGTATCAATGTTATCGTGAACCACGCGTTAGGCATCAATGTTATCGTGAACCACTGTGAAAAGTAAGATATTTTAATATTTAATTAATAATAGTTTAATATTTTTCAGTACTTAATCATGCCTCATTTGGTCAGCTTTATGTGTCAACCATTTCCATCATAAGTCAATCTATTGTAATTATGAAAAAAAATTTTATTCGATGTTTAATAAGGTCTCATCCGGTGATCTTTCCTACTCATCATTAGTGTTATCCTGAATTAATTTACTGAGAAAAATGAAAAAATTCATATTAAATATTAGAATATTGCCCCTTCAGTATAAGTATAAAGTCCCTGTAAAACGCAGGCCAATAGGTACTTCCTGTTATTCATATTCATCTCGTTGCCTGTTTTCTACTCATCATCCATTGCTCTTATGAATTAATTTATTTAAGCCATGCAATTTTCTCTCGGTGCCAAAAAAGCAGGTCAATATTCATATTCATCACATTAACGGCTTCCAAATAATATGTAACATTCGAATTACTTATACAATTCTAGCTGGGAAGGCGCCAGCTTGCTTGTTTATTAGAAGGATATTAAATAGGGTAGGTTATAAGAAAAAGATATGATCGGTAGTGATTTTGCTCTTGGATATAATGAGACATCAGTCCTCTTTATTGTTTTCACTTCCTTCATAATAGGACACAAGGTAAATCACGCAATCAAGATGTTTAGTTGAGTTATATTCTTGCCTAAACTTTTATTTTTTTTATAATTTGCGTATGTTGAACAGCTCTATTAAATCATCATTGCCCCTCCAGTTTAGGAAAGAAGGGTGATATAACTTTCAGCTCACCAAGAAAGAAAAGAGTGCCAAGATCTAAATTAGTCTCGTTTTATATGGCTAAAACATATAAGACAATCATTATTTCAATCTACATGAATCATCGGCGAATTTAAAACATTGAAAATGTTGAACTTTCCCCAGAAACGAACGTTCAATAGTACGCTAAGGTTCTTTTCCCTCACTAAAGCTTCATATTATCGTATGTTCTATCGAGCAGATCGGCGGTATCAGGTTCTTATATGAGAACATCATTGAAAGCGTAGAGAAATGCAAGACCTCGAATGGTTTTGGATGCATCCTTGCTCACTCCATGGGTCTTGGCAAAACTCTGCAGGTCTGTGTAACAATAATGATCTTGGCATCGTTTTTTAATGTCGATAATAATTGTTATAGTAATGTTGTACTAACGATCCATGCACAGTGTTATAGAGACCTACTAGCAGCATTTCTGTGCTAGAATTCGCCATAGGGCCATTGCACATTATTACAGTGATTCATTTCATATATCAAGTCTAGATGAAAATGTGATTGATGAAGATACGTATTGTCATACGAAAACCTCTGTACGGTCATGATAGGAGTAAAATGGCCATGTTTTAAATGAATAACATGAAAGGCTAGTTTGGATGTTCACATATTTTTAGAGCAATCTCAATGCTTTCAACGGCGCCAAATTTCAGATCGTATCGTTCACGGATATCTTCTTGCGACACACTGAGTTCAAGTCTGTGTTGATCATCGTGCCTATCAACACGCTACAAAACTGGCTGGCCGAGTACAACCATTGGCTGCCAGACCTTGTTACTCCTGACAACCCATTGGCCGCCACCATCAGACCGCGCAACTTTAAGGTCTACGTCATCAATGATGCCCAGAAAAATCTCAGCTCCCGAACCAAGGTTAGTAGGGACTGGTTAATAGTTAGTAATGTTTAACTTTGTAGTAGTAGTTCAAATTCTTCTTCATGAATGGTATCAAGAAAAATCTCAGTTCCTGAACCAAGGCTACAAGGGACAGGCTAATATTTCATAGCCAATGCCACCGTTATATGGGCTGAATTTGACTTATCATGTCAGGAATGTCCTTCACCCGAATTTGACACTTTCAAACAATACAAGTTTCTGTGGCAAATGTATTTGCTGTCATGTCCCTGAGACTTTCTTGTTATCTTGCTGAAATTTGTTTCACGTCTGGGAACTGGTTTTATCCACAAAAACTGCAATTCAAGTCGTGAACATTTTTTCAGTATGTGCAGTGTTTTCAGTATACTTGATTTGCAGATGATGCTCGAAAATTTAGCTACCCCGGCAACTGGCCATTAATATGCGCCGAATTTATTTCATTGCGTTTGTTTGTGTTCAGGTCATCAAAGACTGGCAGGAGAGCGGCGGAGTGCTGCTCATGGGCTACGAGCTCTACCGGCAGCTCTCCCTCAAAAAACCAAAGAAACCAAAGAAAAAGAAGAAAAAAGGCGATGAAAAACCAAACCTTGACGTTGTCGATATTGAAGAAGAAGATGAGAACAAAAAGCTCCTTGATGGTATGTCAAAGAAGTTTTGGTTTCCTGTATGCATGCCATTTGGACGTCACTGCAATAATTGATAATAGAGAGTGTAGGATTTTTATAACGAGTTCCTTGGTATGAAAAGTAACATAGTATGCTATTTATAGTGGTAACATAGTAATGTTGATATAACAAGTCTTGAAATACTTTAGGTTTAATGATTCAACTAACAATTTGCGAGCAGCAACTTCAGAATTCGATTTGATCTCGTCTAATTCATGTTGGATAGTCTGATTGATAGACCAATAGGATGGAGATGTTCCTAACATATGTATAAATAATGTAACAGTATTTGTATTAGGTTGTGCATTTTTATTTTCCGATGGTGGCGGTTTGATTGTGAATGAGTTTGGAGCAGGAATACATATATGTGGCGTTGGTTTAAAAACTAATTAAATGTATAATATGAGAAATTCGCCTAAACCTAAATATGTTAGTGGTAAAAATTGTAATGAAATATTTCCGTGTTCAGTTATTCTACTGTATGTGAAAATTGTATAAATGTTAATTGAATGCATATGTTCAGATATCCACTTGGCCCTGGTGAAGCCTGGCCCCGATCTCGTTATTTGTGATGAGGGCCACCGCATCAAGAACGCCCACGCCAACATCTCACAGGCTCTCAAGAACATCAGGACGAAGCGCCGCATTGTGCTCACTGGTTATCCCTTGCAGAACAACCTTATGGAGTACTGGTGCATGGTTGACTTCGTGCGACCTAACTACTTGGGTGAGTGTGGTACCAGTACCATGTGTAGATGGTCATCAGTGTTTGTCATAAAGTGCTTTTTATGTGTGCTGGTACTGAAGTTTTTGTTTACCATTATAACATGAATCTTCTTTGCATGCGGTGTGCAAAGGCGACTAGGTGCGGAATAAAATTAATTTATTTCTCTCTACTGTTTCTGTTTACTTTTAAAACTTCTCCAATTATTTATTCGTTAACAGATGATTCAAGATAACTTTTTGTATTGCCAGACTAATTCTATTTTGAATTACGATATACAACTCGCAGTTGTTTTTATGATGAAATATGCAATTACTCCGGTTTTTTTGGTTGAATACGTACGTTTTCACGAGACGTACTACTAATTAAAATTAAATGTATTCTCCAGGAACCAAGACGGAATTTGCAAACATGTTTGAGCGGCCTATCCAGAACGGCCAGTGTGTGGACTCAACCCCTCAGGACATGAAGCTCATGCGTTACCGCTCACACGTGCTGCACTCCCTGCTCGAGGGCTTCGTGCAAAGGTGGGTTACCAAACTTATCTCATATTCGAATAATAACTTATGGTGGGTAACCATTTAAAATTTATCTTCTGTTCAAACAAGAACTTTGAGGTGGTACGGTAACCATTTAAAACTTGTCTCCTGTTCAAATAATAACTTTGAGGTGGTTCATCATTTAAAATTTATCTTCTGTTCAAATAAGAACTTTTAGGTGGTAATCATTTAAAATTTATCTCCTGTTCAAATAATAACTTTGAGGTGGTAACCATTTAAAACTTGTCTCCTGTACAAATAATATTTTTGTTGTAGATCACTACCACAAAACTCATTTCCTGACTAAATAATAACTTTGAGGTGGATCACCATTTAAAATTTATCTCCTGTTCAAATAATAACTTTTAGGTAGGTAATTATTTTTTCCAGGCGGAGAAATAACCTTGTTTTTTAGTCATAACTTGGAATATTTTTCTGGCTTTCTTATCTCAACCTTTTCTCTTGACCCTTCTCTCAACCCTTCTCTTAACCCCTATCATGACCCCTCTCTCGACTCGTCTCTTAACCCCTCTCTCGACTCGTCTCTTAACCCCTCTCTCGACTCGTCTCTTAAACCCCTCTCTTAACCCCTCTCTTGATCCCTCCGTGACAACAGGCGCGGCCACACTGTACTGCAAGCGACGCTGCCCTGTAAGCACGAACACGTGCTCTTCTGCCGCCTGACGGCCGTGCAGCGTAAGCTCTACTCTGCCTTTATGTCCGAGCTCAGCACCTCTAAGGCTGTCGCCAACCCTCTCAAGGCCTTCGCCGTCTGCTGCAAGGTAACTGGTCTTGCTGGGGTAATTTATCTTTGATTTTAGGGTATCCTGCAAACTCTTGGAACATAGGAGCTCTCTCTGAAGGCAGGCCTTCTGCTACAACGTAACTGGAATTTCTAGAGTAATTTATCCCTGATTGTAGGGTGCTGGAAAGTATAAGAACATAGTTGTTCACACTGAAGTCAGGTCTTTGCCGTCTGCTGCGGGATGCCTAATGTTGTGAAAGTATTGGATCTATGATGACGGAGTGAATAATATATATGATCTGCTGTTTAGACTTTAAAATATTTACTAGTTGTGAATTGAGAACTCAGTTATAAAATATTATTGCAAATATTGTTACCTGTGTGGAAAATTTACTTGTTCTAACTCATCTGTTATTCCTCGCGATTTACATTAGTTGATCGAATTTTTGATGGTTAAAGTATTTGAAGCTAATAATGATAATAATAATAATTTTTATTCAGATTTGGAACCATCCTGACGTGCTCTACAACTTCCTCATGAAACGTTTCAATGAAGATTTCGATTTGGACTTGGATGAAATCGACCACAAAGCCAAAAGTCGAAGCGGTAAAAGCCACTCTTCAAACTGGTCCCTGAACTTACCTAACTTCAACCAAGGGGCGTCAACGGGCGGCCACTCAAGTAGTGCACTGGGGTCTGGATCTCACGGGCATCTACAGCAGATGGGTGCTGCCAGAAGCATGGGTCAGAGTCATCACTCTCATGGACTGTCAGGCATGCAGCAACTTCCTCAGCAATCTCAACATCTGATGCAACAACAACCGCATTCTGGTGAGTGTTCGACTTATGAGGTGGTAAGTCACAAATCTGTGATACGTGCTTATGAAAAAGGAATTGGGAATTTGTTACATACTGAACACAAAAATACTTGATGGTTCATGCTTCGCCTAGTTGAACGGCTGGCTTTTCTGCTGCGCTGTGAATATCGGAATATATACTACCTACCTGAGGTGAAATAATGTACTATATACTATTTGAAATAATTTTTACGTTCTTGTTTTGTGTGGTCGCTGATAAGTATTAACCATTGTAGGTGGTGTAGTAGTATTAAGTTAATGCGAATTAATGAAAATTTGGAACGCAGTACGTGCCCATTGTTCAGCTTGACAAAAGCCCATTATTTTTACTCCGGTAAGAAAATTAATAGGCTTTATGCCGCATTCTGTTATATGAAGATTTTTCATTATCTTACCAACGCGACGTTCGGCGCGAAGTAGCTTGATCTAAACCGCCAGTTATTGAACATATGAAGTGAATTCTTTTTCAATTCTTTCCAACTTTGTTCAAAATGAGTGTTACAGTTCTGACATCATACAATCAAATATTGACGGTTATAACTCGGTCGTAGAGTCGTGTTGAAGAAGGTGAAAAAGGTCTTCGTGTGACAGACACTAATCTATATTTCTGTGTGCAGGCGTGAGTGATCTGAGCGCCATGCAAGGTATGACGGATCCTAATCTCATGTCGTCCCATATGATGCATCCCGGAATGTCTCAATCTGGCCACTCTGGCCTCCCTTCTGGTTATGGCTTGCCGGGCTACGGAGGCATGAACCAGCAGCAGCAACAAGCTTCCCAGCAAGGATACGCTGGCATCCAGCAGATGTCGGGGTACCCATGGTATGGAAGTCAAGGATTTGCTGCCAACCCGAACGACCCTTCAGGACAACTTTATCCTCCTGCTTATGGCAGTCCCTATGGAGCTCCACCTCAGTATATGCACCCGCATCTCATGCAGCAACAACAGCAGCAGCAACAGTTAGCGCAACAGCAGCAGATGCAACTACAGCAGCAGCAGCAGCAACAACAGCAGACTTCCCGTCAGCAACAATTAACTCCTCAGTCCCAATCCATGGGAAATTATAGCATCCCTCAGTCAATGCATTCACCTCTCGATCTAGGATCTTCAAACCATTCCCCGATGGATCTCGGCCCCTCCAACCATTCTCCATTAGATTTGGGGCAAAATAGCCAGCAACAGCTCGCGCAAAGTATGGTTTCGTCATCTGGTGGCATGATTCAACAGCAACAACAGGAAATGATGCATCAAAATCAATCTCCAAATGACTTGATGCAGCCTCAAATGACTCACCAACAGCAGTCGATGAGACAGCAGCAGCAACAACATTTGCCCATGTCCCAACAACAGCAAATGATGTCTCAACAACAATCCTTGAGTGCTCAGGATACGCTGGCGCAACAACAACAGCAACACTCTATATCAAGTATCATGCAACACAATGGCCAGAACATGCAGCAAGGAGATGCGTCTAATCCTGAACTTCAGCAGCAAATGCATCATCAGCAGATGCAGCAGCAGCAGCAGCAACAACAGCAGCAGCAACAACAACAACAGCATCACCAGCAGCACCAAAATATGAACAGTATGTCAATTACCGGACAAGACCCGTCCTCGTTGGCTGACGTACCGCCTGCAAGTCAGGACGTCCCAGCCACAAACGGTGCTGTAGTGGACGCACCAGAGGCGCCTAAAGCAGAGTTTGGTGCTGTAGGCTCCACTTCTAAAGAAGAGGAAATTCCTGCAACATCTGATCCGGCGAACAAGGATAACCAAAAATCTAGTCCAGAGAAAGATTCAGGCGACACAACTGATGGCGATGGGGCGAAGAAAAACAAAGAAGACGGAGCTGAAAAGAAGGAGGAGGCCAAGAAAGAAGAAATTACTTTCGAATGGGCTGAGGATATCATCAAGGAATACATTCCGGGACTGCTCGAAAATTCTGTTAAATTTCAAATATTTTTCAAAATTTTGGAAGGGGCTCTCCGAGTTGGTGACAACTTACTGGTGTTCTCTCAGTCTCTTTTCACTTTGTCTCTGATAGAAGAGTTTTTGCAGCGATATTATATACCCGGCACTTACGAAGTGTGGGCCAAAAACCGATCATATTTTCGTCTGGATGGAAGTACCTCAGCCCAGGAAAGGGAAAAACTCATTAATGAATTCAACACTAACCCGCACGTGAGGATATTTTTGGTATCAACTCGTGCAGGTAGTTTGGGCATTAATTTGGTTGGCGCTAATCGGGTTGTTGTCTTCGACGCTTCTTTCAATCCATGCCACGACACTCAAGCCGTGTGCCGCGTGTACAGATACGGTCAGCAGAAACAGTGCTACATTTACAGACTCGTCACGGACAACTCGCTTGAGAGACGCATTTATGACAGACAAGTCAACAAGCAGGGAATATCAGACAGAATTCTCGACGAACTCAACCCTGACGCTCATCTTTCATCCAAAGAAATCAGTAACTTGTTGGTTGAAAATGAAGAAGAGCCTGAAGAAAAAGATCTCAGCGACGCGGTTGATGATTATGAAGACGATGTTCTCAAGGAAATCGTGAAGACTTACGGCAAACTTCTGACTAAGACTCCTTTCAGGCACGAGTCATTACTAGTTGACCGCAAAGATAAGCAATTGTCGCGGGCTGAGAAGCGACTTGCTAAACGTTCATATGAATTGGAAAAACAAGCAAATATCTCGTTCATCAACAGACCGGGATATGCCAACTTTCAAAAAGGTCAACAAAGTCTCGTCGGAACAAAAATTGGGTAAGTTTTCGTTTATTTTCTGTGTTTAACATCCTATCCTTTCAGTATGCAAAATAGAGAAATTCCTGACCCTATTATTTGTTCAATAATTAATCATTAACCGTGCGTCAGGTGAGCGGTTTAATTTTGAATTACCTGGAGTGATGATAGAGCCAGATGGCCTTCATACTTGCCATGTTCAGCCATGATGTTATGTTGAGCTAGCTATGGCCCGATGATTAAGCTGTGGTGTGTACTGTGTAAGCGTTAATGCACTAACATGTGTTAGTACTGTGGCGCTGTGCCCACTAAATCAAAAGTCGGTGAGGCTTATCATGCTCACATGGCATTTAAAACTTAACGGTTAACTGGAATCTATGCTAGTTCAGGGGGTGTGGAGCACACTAAGCCAGAAGTCGTGCGGTCTATGACTCATGCGTGTCATTTTGCACAAGAGTTAACTGTTATCGATGCTCGTGCAGGGGTGTGGTGTACGCTAAGCCTGTGGGCACAGTACGGCCCATGCAGGCAGGAGGAGACATGGCCCTGGCAGGAGGTAATCTGCTCATGACGCGGCACGGAGTCGTGCAGAACCGCGGTGCCGGCGGCAACTTCCCTGCAGATGCTCTCGCTAAACAGGGCGTCTCCGTGCAGCAGATCACCGTACCTAAAGGTTGGCTCCTAGGGATCAGTTTTTATTTAACCCTTGTTGGACTACATAGCTACAACGGTTCCTGGAAGTGGTATGATTATAACGTAATACTATGCAGGCTGAGAAGGTTCTAAAGACTTGATTCAATTTTAATTTTCTCGCGTGCCGTTAACTGTCTAAAAAATAGCTAATGTTTCAGAGAGCATTTTATTTATTAATGATACTTTTATTTTATATCACCCGTAAATTGGTACAGAATTACAATTCGCGCTCGCTAGTTTAATCTCCTGATAATGGCTTATTATGGTATCTTATTTTTTAATGTGTAAGGACCATGGACTATTTCATGCATTAGGATATGTCATCATCCAGAGAGTGACCAATTTCGATTTGCTAATTAATAGAGTGTTATCATTGAAAGATGATAGCATTAATTGGTCATTCCTTCTTTTGGGTAAAGGTTGAATAATTTTACCTTCAAATAGTTTCTTACCTATTTGTTTATTGTTATATTATTATTATTATTATCGTTTAACTATTATTATATTTAGTATCATATTTTATAATTGTTCAACTTTGTTTACCTTTTCTGTTTCAGACGTGAGCATACCAACGAACAGCGGAGACGGGAAACCGATAGAGTTGAGCGCCGGACAGTCGGTGATGGTAATCAAGACCCAGAAGGGCATGTACCTGAGACTGGCTGACGGTAAGATCGTCGCCATACGCGTGCCGTCTGGCAACGAGTCGTATGGCTTGCCTCTGAACCAAGGCAGCGTCACCATCGTGCCTACAATGATGAACGCTGGCCGTGGCGGCCTCTCTGCCCGGGGCATCATGCGAGGAGGGGCGGCGATGATGCGGGGCATGGGTGCTCGAAGAGGTCGTCCACCCATGGGTGCACAGTACGCCATGGGTCAGATGATGGGTGCTAAAGGGCAGACTGCCGTAAGGATAGTTCGTCGTCCCATTGTGAATAGTAAAGGAAAGACAACTTATCAGACTATCGCCGTGCCAGTGTCAAACGCATCCGGAGCTCTTCTGAACAAGAGCGTCATGATAACTCCTGCAAACCGAGCTGGCATGTCACCCGCCATGAAAGGCCTCGGGAAGAACCAAACACCCCAGGTCACTCTAACGCCCGTATTGCCGAAGAACTCATCCTTGAGCATCACGCCTGTCGCCGGAACGAGTGGTACAAAAATTGCCCCTAAAGTACCAATCATCAGAGATCCGAAACGATCTATGATGCAACGCCCGCCAACGCGTATCGATCCTTTAAAAGCAGCTGCCGAGAAGAAGAACAATAATGCTGCTTCTGCACCAGCTGCGTCAAACACCACCTCTTCCTCCTCTGAAAAATCCACCGATCCTGCTGGAACTGAATCAAGCACTAAAAAGCAAGCTGGAGTTGCGAGTGAGGCAGCAAATAAATCCAACAACGGAGAAAAGTCTAGCGAGGCTGATCGTAGTACGGAAAAAAGCTCAGTGCCTCAGAACCCGGAGAAAGGTTCTGCATCAGCGGCTGAAGACTTGCCTAAAAGTTTTAGTGAGCTCAGCACTTACGAATCCACTGCTAATGGGGATAGTAATAGCGCTAACAGAAATAACGCTGATCCAATTACTCAAAACGCTCTGAAACAAACTCCTGAAGAAACTCCTCGAGGCAGTGTACCCGTAATGGCTGCCAGTGGTATGAACCCATCTGTCGAAATGCCGATACCTGACATGAATTCCCCAGCAAGTACCAATGTTCCCTGTCCTCCAGCTGGCCCTAATACTGTTCAGTCTTCTGTCACGCCGCTGCAACAGAACGTCATGGATACAACGCACGATGTCCCCCAGGACCTAACAAGTCTTTCTTCACCTGCTAACGCGCAGGATCTGAGTATGAGCAGCGCTCTGAGAGAAGCCAGTCTCGCTGACCGCCATCACCAGCAGCAGCAACATCTGCAACAACAGCGCGCCGCTAAACGTGCCAAGGCTGCAGCTGCTTCTGAACCTCTCATGGGCATTGTTAAGCCAAATGTACATGACAAAATGTCGAGTAGCTTATCCAGCCTGCAGAACATGAGCAACCTTCTACAAGGAGACCCTTTGCCTGCATCAGCTTCATCCTTGTATTCACTCGCATCGTACAGCAGTAGCGGCAGTAGCCAGCCTCTCTTTCAGCCTTTCCTGCACTCAAGTAGTTCCAGTTCTAGCACCAGCAACAACGTGGCTCAAGTGGCACCTCATGTACAAAGTTCTGCCTACACTACAAGTCAGTCGTCAGTTTCATCTTATTTGTCGTCTTCAGTTTCCTCGATTGCGTCTACTGACTCTCATTCCTCTGGTGTCAGCTTGCCGAGCATGCAGTCCTCTTGTTTATCTGCTTCATCTGCTGCTGGAGGTCTAAATTTCTCTGGTATGGATATGGGTCAGCTGGCACGGACATCAGATGCTGCTCACTCGCTGTCCAGTCTTCTGAGTCAGTATGACACAAGCGCCACCGAAGAGCTCATCTCCTCTGCAGCCCATTCGACTGCTCTGGATTATCTCAATTATTCACTTGGCGCTGGGTCATCTGCCTTCAGAAGACCGGATGCTCTTACATCTGAACTTCAGAGTTTGCTGGCCCCGTCTTCGCCTTCATCCATGTCTTCGACTCCATCCCCTGCACCTTTTCCTGCCCACCAGTCCACGTATTCCTCCCAGTACCCCGCCTCTGCATATCGTTCATCACAGTTCAGTCGAGCAGCATCATCGTCAGTAAATTACAACGCGGCCGCAGCAGCCGCCTATGCAAGCCAGTACGGTCCGTACTCGTCTCAGTACACGAGTCTGGCCGCCGCTGCCGCTGCTCATGCGGGGTCTCCTTCGTCCAGCCAGGCTGCCGCGGCTACAGCAGCTGCCGCTGCCGCTGCTGCCGCATCCCAATATCCTGCCGCACTACAAAGTAATCCTTATCAGGCATTCTCGGCCTCCTCGGCTTCAGGGTTGCCGCCCTATAGTTCTGGGCTAGGAGGCTTCGGTCACGGCCCGTACCCGCCCATGTAGGGAAGGCAGAAACAGAGCGGCAAGCGGCGGGAGAAACGCTGAGGTCAGCGTGGCCAGTAATCTTCTTGCTGCTTCTGCTCTTATCTCTCGACGGGAACGTTACTAATATGTTACTGTAAAATCCATCGACATCCTCAATGAATTACGCCCTTGCACCAACATTAACCTGAGATTGCAAGCGGTTGTAAATTCGTGATTACGATCGAAATTTTTCTCAGATTTGACGATTCCTAACAATCTTGTGTTGAGGCATGAAATGCGGTTCTTGTGATTGTAGATACGTGGTGATGCCCGTGTTCAAATATTGCTGCCGAACAAAGAGCTTAAGGCGCTGATGTATATTGACTTACAAAGTGTATCAGTTCATGATGTACATGTAGAAATCTAGAAGTTCAATGTCGTGCTTTTAGGAAATAGGTTTGCCGTTAGCTCTGTGTTACTTACGCACACTCTTCTCTAACCCATAAATTTTTATGCTTTTTTGAAATCATAATCACCCCGATGCAGAACACCGAGGCTAAATGGTCCCTTCTTAGGAACATGGTATTATTCACCGCCGCAGCTGACTTCGATGGATTGAAACGTCGTCCGTGTGTCGTTTAAGAATCGGTTTCTGAAATTACTTGGTTCATTCGGATTTTTCTTACTTGAAATTTCTTGTTGATGAAATACCTACTCTAATTTCCGTCAATTTTCCTTTACCAACGGTATAAGAAACTTTTGTTAAAAGTGAAGTGTGCGGCCATCGACTTTCATAAGGTTGCAAAATCTGTATTTGTGAAGTCTGCTAGAGAGTACTATTTGACGAGAAAAAGTATAATATCTATTGGCGAATCGGATGATCAATGAATTTCTCTACCACGTATACCGTTCTTTTGTGAAGTGTTCATCTGTAAATTTCTAACTGAAGTTGTTCAATTTTGTTCTGGATGTATTGTACAATTGATAAAGTGATGTCATTCAATAGAGACTTGACTTGTCAAATCTCGCTTTTACAAATATTTTGTGAGGAGCTTATATCTCCTATCATCATCGACTGTATCTACCTACCCACGCTAGCTCTAACTAATATAATTATCGGTGCATATAGCATCACAAGAGATGTCTGCTTTCATTAGAACGCTCACTAAATCCTGTATATGTATATTAGGTAAGATTCTCTACCGAGTGTCCACTGCGTGTCTAGTAGATGTTGTCCCTGTGCTCATCTTGTCTCGGACTAAACGCCAGGAAAATCTATTCTCTTTCTCACCTGGAAATTTGCCGCGTTTTAAAACCCGTTCCAGCATGTCTTGAAACGTTTTATTTGCTAAGAACGTGGGATTTTCCTCAATGTTTTTCTCTCAAATTAGTCTACTCTTTTCCATTTTAATCAAGCTTCTTTTTTTTATTGGTTTAAATCATTCGCTACTATTACATTATTTTTTTACTTTTTTCTTCTTTTTCAGAAATGCACCTTTTTGTAATTTGTTTGACTAGTTGTATGAAACAATTTCGGGGTTTGGGTAGTTAAAGGGGTTCACATCGCTAATATATTTGATAGATACAGTGTCCTTGTACATAGGAAGCCCTTGTCCCAACCTTTCGTGTCGATTCATACTTCTTAGTTTTTCTCCTACTTGGACGATCCTTATCTTCTTGCGTTGCTAGGTGACTCGAAATGTTCTTAACTCGGCCAATTGATTACGCTTTACGTCAAGCTATTGAGCTCTTATGTCAAAACTCCCGAGCCACACAAATTGATTAATTTCTAAATATTCAACCATGGAGGATAAAATTTTTCATTCAAAGTCATTCGGTACTTTGTTGCCAGGTTTATTAACACTTTTTCATTAACGATATTGATGTTCTTGATAAGTTCGTGACTTATCACTAATCACTTGCTAAGCCGATGGTAGTGGATTTTTTCAGAGCTTCAGATCTTTTCTAAAGTTCAATAAGAACGTTGATAGAAACGTGAAACAATATTTACGTTCTACGTAAATATTATAGCAGGCCGCACGAGTCGTGTCGCCTGCTACTTGCTTGGGCTCTTCCTGCATTGCATTTACGTCCCGAAGGTGCGAACCTAGTTTATTGTTCCACGAATCTATTTGATCGCTATTTTTTTTCTCTGTTTAATCAAGGTATATATTCGTGATTTCCGGACGTAATGCCAGATCATAGTTATTATTTTAAGTTGGAATGTTAGTTGGACTTTTAGTGATATCTTTTAGAATCTTGGGTCACATTTCGTCTTTTATACGGACTTGGCTTCTTATGATCGTTTATGTGATTCATTTATCTGATTGGTCATAGGAGATTACTCTTAGACTCGCCAAGAGTGATCGTAAATGCTAAAAACTTAACGCTGTTGCCACAGGACGCGAGTTTGTTAAAATGTTTTCCAATGATATTTGTTATCAGCTTTTATTTCCTTGAGTGAAGCCTGTGGCCCAAAGATGGAGTCCAGTTCCTGTAAGGCCACTTCATTTATTCGCTACTATGATTCATGAGATCGTTTAGTTTATGTGAGTTATTGGCTTTCAAAGTTTTTCACTCTGTTAATCAATATATCGTGATTCATACAGTGAGTATGTTACTCTTTCGAAAAATAATAACGAAACGTACGTATGTCTGAATTTAATATTTCGTACAATTTCACTACTTTGTTTCCGCTAGAAATGGACAAGCCAATAACTTTTGGGAAGCGCTGGATTACGACTTTCATCATTGAGTTTTGGTTTCAGATTGAGCACTGGCCTTCAGCTTCCTTATATTGAACACTTAATTCGATCAGGCCTTGGCAGGCCATCATGCAAACTTACTCCATGTTTCTGGCATTAGTGAATATAATGTAAGCATAATAATGGCATACAACTATAGTCGTGAATCCCTTTCCATATTTATGTTCAGGTTAGTTATTATATTCGCTTCCGTTTCATGTCTTGTAATCTCTACTTTCTGTGATAAATTCAGTTTTTAGTTGATGAAAATATTCAATCGGAGAGTTCTTCACATTAATTGATCCGGATTAATTGACTGCGATGCAAAATTTCTGTAAAATATTGGCCCGAATGCTGCATCCGTGAACACGATTTTATATTATGTCGTTGATGATTTTATCCACGGATATATTTAAGGTTCGCGATGTCGAGTTGTGGGATCGGAAGTAAATGTGTATTTTATGAATATTTTTGGCGCACTTTTCAGCAAGTGAAACTTTTGTGAGCTGTTTAATGAGTCCTTATTCGTTTATATTGATTTTCATATTTATTTAACTATCTTGGATAGTAATCTATTATTTTTGTAGGATTATGCGATATTTATGTCATTTGTAACTTGAATGAAATGTTTCAGACGCTTTAATGGAATATTTCGGGCGTTTTCTTTCTTTCTATTTTTTCTTTTCATTCTGTATCATAAACCTCAAACTTGTGTATAGTCAAGCCGTAGCGCGATACTCCTCACCTTTATTCACTAATGTGTGCGCTGCGACAAACTTCGCGTTAATAATGCGGTTGTTCACTGGCTGTCTGTTGACCTAACCCGCAAATGATCTTTTTTCCTTATGGTTTTCGCGAGTATTGTTGCACAAATTTATTCTCTAATCTAGAAATAAATTTAGCTCAATAGACAGCAGGTTAGTGGCCGTTGCATTTTACAGGAGATTGTCAGAGCGCACGGTGTATATAGATCTAATTTTAATGTATAGTTTGTCTGTCGCTAACAAGTGAACTTGGTTCTAGTGGTAAGTCTTCAAGATCATCGTCTACCGAAAGGATGCTGCTAGGAAATTTCTTTTTATCTTTAAGACTTTAACCGTGGACCTTCGCGCACGATGCTCGCCTCTCATGGAAGTGGAAGGTCGAAGTTTATGTGAAATATATTATAAAATTAAAATAATTTCATTTTTCCTTGAATTCGATGGTTATATCAGGAGCTAAGATAACTGGGTTGTTTTCCAACGTTTGTCAGATGGAACTTTTCGGTTGGTGAAGTTAAAAAGCCTGATGGAAGGTTGAGTTGAAGTTGAGAAGCTGTGCGCTCAAGCGTTTGATTTCGTCTCAAGAGGTTGATCACTTTACTTAATAAGCAAAAGGTCAATTACGATAAATTAACGTAAACTTTCTAGAATGTCAAAGAGCTTTAAGACGAATACTGATTTCAAATTCTTCATATGGATGCGAGTTAATTTGCTTCTACTTTAAATTCTTATACGTATTATTTTGAAAGCCGGTTATCGGATTGAACTTCAATCCCTTCTGAGAATGTTTTTATTATTTCCGTGTTTTAATGTATTTTTCTAAGAGTTACAATGTAAAATATAATGTAAGAGTTACAAGCTAACAGTCTTATTCTTTCTTCGGATTGAAAATCTGACTGTCTGAGATACATGCTGATTATTGCTGATTACATACACTACACAGTTATTACTTTTCGCCTAGCTTGAAATACAGAAAGCAAAACCTATTAATTCTTCCCAGGATATTTGCTAAGTACATTTATGGTGAAGCCACTGTTGAAAGTGCAGCTTTATCCGCCAGCACCATCCAATTAGTATCTCATTGTTAATTAGAACCCAATTAGTAAGATGATAGTAATTGGTTTCTAATCAATATCCAATTTGTATCTAATTCTATCAATCTCAGACGCTTCATCCGATTGCAAGATCTTCGTGCACATGAAGTGTGCGTACGCGAACAAGGTAAATGATAAGAAAGTCTAATTGATCACACTAAATCGTGCTTATCGTGTTTTTTTTTATCACTTTACGTACTTGTTTACTTGTTCTGTTTGGTCTAGTTCTGTGAAATAAAAGGATTTTTCCTGTAATTTGCCATTTCTTAATTGCATTATTTACTAAAGCTAAACGCAATTTTTGAACGTTAATTTTTAAGAAATTGAGCGTTGAGAGTAACTGGAAATAATTCTAATTTTGAAATAATTCTAATTTAATAAAACCAAATGACGAAAGATTACATTTTTCTGTGTGTTCAGTCAGTGGAATACGATTGTTCTCTATGATTTTCAATCTTTGATTTAGTATGGATTATTCAACAATTGTATAAAGAAAGCGCAATGATTGAAGATAGATTGCTCAATGATTGAGGATGGATTGCTCAAAGATTTAGGATGGATTGCTCAATGATTGAGGACAGATTATTATTATTGTTATTCCACGATGCAGTTTTTGTGGCGTCTGGTTCAAACGAATTTCGAGGGCAGGTTACACATAATTTTAGTAGCATGCGAAAAATAAATAGGTACGAGAAATTTTGAGAACGGATAAAAATGATCAAACACTTGATTCACAGGCTTTACGAAAAAGTTCCGTCTTCAGGCGTCGACGAAACACCGGCAACGTAGGAGCCGATGTTACGGACGCCTTCAGACTGTTCCAGTTTCTGGCAGCGGCGACCGGGAACGCTCTGTCGCCGACGGTAGATAGACGTGTAGATGGTACGACGAGGTAGACGTGTAGATGGTACGACGAGGTAGACGTGTAGATGGTACGACGAGGTAGACGTGTAGATGGTACGACGAGGTAGATCCTGTCTCTTATACACATCTAGATGTGTATAAGAGACAGATTTTGATTGAACTGCACTAACATTGAACCTTTCACTGAAATCGTTTCGGTACAAAATTCGCGAGATAAGTCAAACCGGCATAGTAAAAAGTGAGAAAGTTGGGACCCGCAAACACTACGTGCGTCCTCGATCACTGCCAGAACTCAACTGTCATATTGTTATTTATCAGATTTGAATGGTTGTAGGATTTATTACTGTATGTAATAGCCCTTAATCCCTTTGCAGACGAAAATGCGAATAATTTCAACCTGCATTAGACCTGTGACATGAGCTTGAAGCCCGTTTGGCGAACCTTCGCTGAATTTTGCTGTAATAAAATTTGTTTTTGTGTTAAATGTCCATATAGTTTCATGCCCTTATGTAAATTACGAAGTCAGTGAACGTGAAGACCATTGCTAGAATGGTACGCAACGATATTAGACTGCAAGGCAGCGGTTACAATAAGCTAATTCAAACTTGATTGCTCATTCGAAAGATTGCTCAATGATTGTGAATAGATTTCTCAGTGATTGATGATGGGTTGTTCAATGATTGAGGATGGTAATAATTGGAAAGCCTAGAAATTTGTTCTCTAGTACATTCCTACCCGCAAGATATTTTCCTCAATTTCTGTAGAGCATCTGTGGTTTAATTTACAGGGATATCATATTTATTTCATCTTTGCTCTAATTGACGCGCGTTGAACTCGGTAAAAGTGGTAAATTTAGTTTACCACTGATCACTTTGGGTATGCAGATGAGTGGTTAGTGTTGAAGCGCTTTATTTACCGCAGTATTTATTGCATTTTGTATATAATTTTACAATATCATACTAAACGTCGGAGTGGTCTACTCTTTCTGGCGTGTGTCTTAAGAG